CAATGAAATTACTAAAGAATCGAGATCAGAAAAATCTACTTGCCATATCCAGTTTTACAAGAGTGCTCGTAAATATCATATATAATGTTTTTAAGAAAAGTTCTTTCGTACACGTTACTAGCACAACTAGTAGCAACTTACAATAAAAAGAAGAATATTTTCCAAGATTTAGTAAGCAAGATAATAGCAGTTTGACAACTAACCCCGTGTCACAACTAGCCCCGGTCTCCCCTACTCCTTTTGCTTCTCAAAGGAGTGTACCTTGCCTTTAGAGTCCTGCGACGACGTCTCCTGAACACGCTGAGCGTCACGTACTCCAGAGGATACACGGACACGAGTTCAAAGCTCTCGATGCCGACGTCGATACCGGGCGGACAGAAGAAGTCGGGATTCGTTCGGAGAATGTCGGCGGCGACGATCAGCCTGGTCGGCGTGAGGGCCAGAGTGACCTGACGGAGTCCGCATCCGTTTCTGGTGGTTTCCGCGAACGGCGACTCGACCAGAATCGTCTCGGACGCGAACTCCCGATACTCCGACAGCAGCAACCTGCGTATTCTGTTGTTGCTCCGCGCGCGAGCATCGCGATCGGTCGATCTCGTCTCGTCACGCATGCCACGCGCGACGAACGCGTCTTCCCGCGAGAGGAGAATCAGAATCAGGAGAATGATACCGTGGTGCTCGAATCATCTATGAGAGTCTCTCTGTACACGACCGAAGGATTTTTCCAAAACTAGAGAACAAGTTTCTAAGATCGCCTGTCTCGTTAAGTTTCTTAACCGCGTCGGAAATTAAAATTCCTCTTCGAGACGAAACGTCAGAGAGAAAAACGCTGTCGCTTGCGCGCGACTTCTCGTCATATTTTGTATAAAAAAATGAGGGGGTGGGGGCGTGTATGCTCTCTTACATTACGTTTGTCGATAAAGAAAATAAAGGATTGAGGATTGGTTTTAAATCGTTGTATTTATTTAAAAATTCAACGTCTCGTCGAATTTGTTTTTTTTTTTGTTATGATGATTCGTACATGGAGACGCAGTAAATTACATTCAAAGACTACGTGGTAAATACTGGTCGTAAAACCTCGTCTCGGTTAATAAGAAAACTCAGCTTCTCTCTCTCTCTTCGATTACAATATATATATAATATATATATATGTATACGATATAATAAATAAGATTATATAAAAACACGTGTCGAAAAGAACCTCACCAATAAGGGAGAGCGCTTTTTTTTTTTTTCATACGGTAGAAGATCGAAAAACGGTTGGAAAAATTGGTTGGTAAAAAACCGTTTCGGATGCAAAAATGTGCAAAAATGTACAAAATGTACGAAGGTACAAAAGGATCGTTCCTATGTGTGTATGTATATTTCTTTCGAATAAAATGTCGCACTTTTTTAACGGCGTTTAATATATAATAAAGCGCGTTAACACTCGTTTCTCTTATCGACCGCTGTTCTCCGGATTCACTTTGATGGTTACTTTGTTGCCGATGGCGGATGCGAGCTTCTCTACGTTGCTCTGGCACTGCCTGCTCGGCTCGGAATTCGTTGTATCGTTGTTGGACGTCGCCGCGTTTTCCGAAATTGTCTTCGCAGGCGACAAATTGTCCTGAAAACATAAAAGAAACAAATATCGCTCGCACATTCGTTGAAAAACGGAGAACGCATAGGTCGAGATCTCTTTTTCTTATTCTCGTTCTATCGAACACGTTCCTCACTCACCCCTTCAGTCTTTCTTCGAAGATTCGATCTCTGTAGCGTCGCGGCGAGCTCGTTCTGCAGCCTGGACACAACCGGTCCGTTCGCCGTCTCGTCGGCGACGCCGTTTTTCTCACGACCCGACTGCTGCGGCAAGAACTCCAACCGGGACGGTTGCTTAGCTTCGCCCTCGTACGCCCCGATTCTCACGGCTATCTTGCCCCCGGACGGGGATCTCGTCGACGATTGAGCGCTGTTGGTCGGCGACGAGGGAGAGGTCCTGACGAGTTCGGCGACCGGACTGGTCGCGGCGTCCTTGCCGCTGGCGACTTTGCCACCGACGTGACGAGGACTTCCGTTCGACGAGCTCGTCACCGGGAAGTACGTTGGCGGTGGCTTCGGCACCGTGCTCGGCGTCTCTTTCAACTTGAACGACTCGATGCTCTGCATCTCCACCGAGTCGTCGCTACCTCGGTGTTTCGAAGTAAGCGGAAGCGGGGGAGGAGCCGGCGGTGCCACCGGAGGACCCGTCGTCGCCGCTGCCGAGGTCTCGTTGATCGTTCTCTTTACTTGTTCCTGAAATTAAAACAAGTTTCACAATAACATGAAGCGCGTTTTAAAACTTAAATTGTAAAAATATGAGAAATTAAATTAAAGTTTTTAATTTAATTTTTTTCGTGCTTGAAAATGCAAGACTGCTACAAAATTAATGTAAAAAACATTGCAAAATAAAAACGTAAAATTTTAATTTTAATAAATTTTAATTTTAAAACATACAAAGAAGTTATTTTTAAAATGAGATTTTTCTCTTTACGTGTTTATTGATTACACAGAGGGGGAGATATTTACGCACTGATTTATCAGCGCGATAAATTCACTACAAACACACGCCTGTCTCGAGTCTCAAATTAAATCGCGGATTAACGCTAAAAACACATTTTATATTATAATTACTAACATTGTACGGAGTGACCGTGACCAGTGCTTGTTTCTTCCTCGTGTCGCTCGTGTTATTCATTTTTTAAATTACTATTCACTTCGCGCACAGGTATACGTATATATAAAAAAAAAAAAAAAAAAAACTCTTCGAATACAATTTACGTCATAATATCTGACTATTTATCTTTTCCTCTTTGCAAGTTTGATTCCTTGCGTGTCCGCACACTCTTTCTTTACTCTTTTTTCATGCACTTTTTACAGCCAACGGACGTCACGCAGTCACACATTATCCTTCTGTTAATGTCTATTTTAAATCTACACCCGCAACTATAGCGCACGAAGAATAATCGATGTGAAAACAGAATCTTTAGTCTTGCACATTCGCAGAGACTGAACATAATACCCGAACGACCTTCCTTGACAGTTTTTCTTACAGTAAGAGAGAGAGAGAGAGAGAAAGAGAGAGAGAAAAAAAAAGAAACAAAAAAAGATGACTCGTGTTATTCGTCGTAATAATTTAAAACATGTCTGAAACTTTTTAAATTCTCGTCGAACAAAATGTCATCGTAACGAAAAGTTTATCCCGTCCTACAACAGGTCTGAAAAATTGTTTTACTCGCAACCGTGATTTCCTTCTTCAAATTACGATTATCGCACCGACGTTGCGGCGTTCTCGGCGGCACGGCGACAGGCGACTGAAGAAAAACACGCGGAACGCGCAGGATTGAGCACCGCGGCGGCGGCGGCGGTTCTTATGTAAGTCCTATTATTTTGCACGTCTCTCCGCGGGAATTCGTAGGAAACCGTCCGAAGCGGAAGAAAAAATTCGCCACGAGACGCTCGATCGCGACGACGACACCGTGTCGTGTTGCGCCGCCGCGAACAACGCGTCGACTAAAGTCGCGATCGTTGCCGATCGTGTCGTTCGCAGCGATGAAAACCGCGAGTGCGTTCCGATAACGAATACGATAAGACGGCAACGCGAGCGGCGGCTCAATCAACGTTGCCTCAAATCGATGCTAATTATTACCTTAATAATCGAAAAATCGACAGATGCGTCAGCGATCGCATTGTCGAAACCGAAAATTCAAAAAAGCGACTTAAGAAAATATTACACTGACAAGATAATTACATATGTTTAATTAAAAAAAAAAAAACAGTGGCGTTAAAGCCAAGTAAAAGCAAATCCGACACGTAAAACGATATCAATTATTCCGCGATACTCATCGCGCGCGCGATCGTTTGTTATCGCGTTTCATCGCGTTTCAATAACACATACACACACACACACACAAGATACAACCGATCCACATTTTCCTCCGCGATCGAACGCGAATACGTACGACGATCTTCGCGCGGTCTGCAAGAGAACTGAAGCAGATAGCTCGGAATTATGTACGTGACTTTTTAAAACGCGAACCCGCTCTCGTTATCTCTCGTTTCAATAATACCGACGTGTGTCTTACGTGGTATGCACACGTATTGTAACGTTGGCGTATCTTCGCGCAATATACACACACGATTGTTGCACACGTTGCAAATCGCGCACGCGTGCACACACATACACACACACACACCGACGATAACGTATTATATTCCGGAGTCTTCGTAATTTTGTTCTCTTATCTGTTTACACCTTGTGTGGATCTTTGCTTGTGTAATTACGAGCGTGCGCTCACACACGAGCCTCACCTCAGCCACGCTCCGAAACCCACACTAAAAAATATCTTCGGAGAAACACGCGTTTGCGAAAAACATAAAATGAAAATTTCACGCTCGCCGTATTTTTTTAAATATATAAAAAACACGAAGTAAAATTTTTTATTCCGTTTGGCTCGAAACAATGATTTCACGCGACGATATAATTTAAACATAAATTACTAACTATGTATGTTAATGTTGTATTTAAAGCTTCATTTTAAAATAATTGGTGATAAATAGAGATTACTCTCAGGCTCAATAAGTTTTTTATAGTATATGAATATAAGGACATGAAGAGCCGTTCGCAGGATGTTGTGCGTGAATGTGCTTAAATATATATATATGTGTATACACATATATATTTCGAAATAATTTTTTTCCTCCATATAGGATGCTAGATTTGCATCACATATATATGAAGGATCCCGTATATCCCCCTAACTAATTTTAAAATATTGCGAAGAAAAAATCCATTTTAAATTTTATTAAAAATTCTATTATCTTTCTTACACGCGCGATTTTTTTTTTGCATATTCATGTAATTGTAGTTTATTTTTCGCGCGCGTCCTTCTCATTTCTGAATAAGACATTATCGTAATTAATTATGCAACACGTGCAAAGCGTTACGTCACTTATACTCGCAGATACCGCTTATCACTGAGAACACAGTATAAGTGAGACTATTGTTATATCGCACGCGAAAGTTTTCGAACGTTTCGAAGCCTATGAGACACAATTTTTGCGAGCGATAAAATTTTGTTGTTTTACAACTCGACAAGATTTTTCAAATAATTTTATCGTCAGATTAATTAACTAAATAAAGGCCTGGGTTTACGCAAAGAGTTAAGATGTGACATTCAACATTTTCTACTTTCAATATTTATGTTTTGTTTTGTTTTTTTTTTTAATAAAAAATTAACTATTATTAATTATAGATGAATTGATCGCTTCGATCTCACTTACTTTTTCGAGAATCTGTTCCGAAGTCTGCGTCTTCTGCTGCGCGGAATTGAACATCTTTTGGTGAGCGCGTTTAAACTCTTCCATCAGCTGCAAGACACAAATGTCAATTTTTAGTCGCCAACACGTTGTAAATCTCATTGACAGTCGTTTTCAACTCGTTAGGACTATGCAATTAATTAGTCGTTTTTTTTTAAATAACTGTCAATATAAATTTATCGCCCGTACACATAAATATTATACAATTGCAAGTAACCGACCTTGTCGTGTGTGACTTTTTGTTCCTGCGATCTTAGAGCTTCAGGATTCTGCGGCTTGCGGTTATCCGTAGGTTTTTCCTTCAGCGCTTCTGCTTTAGCGGCGTTGTTCATTCTCTGCGCGAAGGTAAGAAACAACACGTGACACGTGATTAATAAGATTACCACCCGAACTATATATAGATGCGACTGTAGTCACACGGAAAATACGTTATTTACAATAAAAATAAATAAAAGTAACAGAAAAATATGCATTAAATAAACAATGTGCGCGTTCTGTGAAACGTATTTATTCAAGGCATGCATTTTTATGAAAGTACAAGATAAAATGTAATCTATGGTTTTTTATGACAGATTATTAATTTTTACAGCGCGTAGATATCGCGATTATTTCTCGATAGCGCGCTTCAGTTCATTGATGACATTCATTATTTTCCGTAACAGAAACGAAAAAGATATACGTGTATTGCGTAGATAAAATCTTCGCAGATAGCGGCGCGGAAAATTGAAGAGTAACAAATTCACGCACTCGAAAAACAGAAAGACAAGAAAGAAATTGCGATCGCGCGATACGTGATCGATAACGCGCACGTTCGAATTCTTATCAGAGAACTGTGTGCGATTTCTTCTGAAAAGAAATTTTTTCGGATCGAGATTTTATTCTCATTTTCTTGTACAAATTACAAAAAAAAATAAAAAAATAAAAAAATAAATAAATCTCGAAATAAATTTTATAGAGAAGTAAAAAATGTAAAAAAAAAGAGAACCTGCTGCGCCCGCCTCTGCAACTCTTGCGTAATGGCGGTGCTCAGATCGGTGCTGGCGATCGGTGACGTCCTGGCGATGTCCTTGCGCGGCGTCGCGTACGCGGTCGTCGAAGTCTCGGTGGTCGTTTTGCTGGCGACGCTGCCGGAACCGCCGGTCGCCGATCCGTAAGACACGGTGGACGCCGGTTCGCAAGACGACGACGTCGACAGGGACGACGATGTCGAGGCGGAATCTTTGCCGCAGGACGACTCGAGACTCGACTCGGTCTCCGTCGAACCGGTGCTGCCCATCGACATGGTGCTGCCCATTTGCATGCCCATGGCGTTCATGGGTTTCGTTTCTGTGTCAGCGAGAGATTGATTTACTAATATTCAATTATTAATAATTTATATTAATTAAATTCATATTTTTTCCACATAAAGATTCAAACGTTGCTTGAGACTATAAAAAAAAATCGGGAAAAAGAGAAAGGATGTCAATAAAAGTAGACGGTTTTGTGTCAAAATTACAACAAAGGTCATGGAACATATTTTCACATTTACTTGTGCGTAAACAAAGTGCGCAAATTACCTTCGAATTTTCTAAGTGAATCGGAGAGGAGATATTTAGAAAACTCTTGTCGCGAGCGAGAGAGATGCGATCGCGAGCAAGTCCGCATCGCGTCCGGTTATTATTCTAACGACGACGATGTTGCGAGAGAGAGAGAGAGAGAGATAGAGAGAAAGAGATAGAGAGAAGTCGTCAAACCTGCTGGCCATTTGTAAGGAAGCGGCGGCGGAGGCGCAGGTGGACAAACTGATTGATGCACCTCCACAGTTGTTATCGTTTTCCTCTCGGCCTCGCTCTGCCTCTGCATAAGCTGCAGCTCCGCCAATCGATTATCGACCGGCTGACCGTTCTCCTGTGGACGCAGAATTTATTCACGTATTTTGTTTTTGTATTTTAATTCAGACGGGGTAATTTTAGCCGTCACGCTTTAACAAGTCTAGCAGCAGCGAGTTTTGAGATGAGAAACGACTCGATAACGTAAACAAGATCGCGAATCTTACTTTGGGGCCGTGGTACATGGGCAAGTCGTCCGCGGGTCCGTCGTAAATCACGTCCAGCTGCCTCGACGCGTTATCGCGTCGATAAGCCAGTCGGCGATTCGCCTCGTCTCGCGGATTCGCGTCGAAATCGTGAACCTCGTAGTCGATTCTGGGCGCCACCGGGTCGTAAAGCGGCTCGTTGTCGATGTCGTCTTCATAATTGCCGCGCAAGTTGTAGTGATACTGCTCGCCCGGCGCGGGCCGATGATTCTGGTTCGAGCTCTGATTAACACGAATCACGGTCGTGTTATTTGGTTTTCGCGACCAATCCGCCTAGAAAACAGTTCAATTAAGCGATCGATGACCACTCGGAGTCGCGCTCTGTCTCCGATTTTAATAAACGTCGTCGTTTATTTCGAACGTAAATGTATTTTTTTATCAATAATAAAAATCACTGAAATTATTTCAGAAAATGTTACGGAAAATCCACCACTCATATATTGTGCGAATAAAATATTATATAATAAAATTTCCAAATTGCAATTAAAAACACAGAATTTAATTAAATGAACCGATATACGAATTTATTTTAAAGTAAAATTTAATTTGTACTAATATAATTTTCGGAAGCAAAATGTGTGCAACACGAAAATACAAAAAATAATTGTGTAAAATGCGGCGAAAATATTTTTCAATATTGATTTTATATATAATCGCAGAAGTTGTATCCGTTGCGTATTTAATAATTAATTATTTACCTGGTCCACGTGCGACCACTCCGAGGACGAGCTGCAGCTGCTGGTTGACAAAGCGAGGGGACAGCATATTCTGCGAACGAACGTATCGGATCCGGAAATGAATCGGAGATTTGTTTATGAACAAATTACACGTGTTCGCGAGAGACGATATTACGCAAGCGAGGCGATTTCTCGGGAACGGAATTCGCGCATTCCTGCACGGAGGAGCGCGTAGGGAACGAGGAACAGGATGAATGTTTACGTAGCGGCAAGGAATTCTCTCTATACGATCGTTATCGCCGAGTGTCCTATTAATGGACCAACTTTCTCCCGCGCGGTGTAAATTCATTGATGGCACTCGATAACAGTCGCGGTCGACGAGAGAGAGAGAGAAAGAGAGAGAGAAGGATACCTACACTTGTAAGTATACATACGGACAACGAGTGTGTTGCGCGGATATTATCAGTTGTTTCGTGCGCGACGTACAAAACCGATTCTGAGCGACGATAACCGGCACCGATCGCTAATTGCGATCGGTATAACGTTTCGAAAAATTTGCACATACAATCGATACAACCGTTAACGATCTAATTAACGATCTCACGTCTCGGTTCCACGTTTCGAGATAATTGCGCTCGCAAGTTACGCGACATTTTCGAAATCACATACGTATCGAATCGCATCAACCGACCTGCCGTTTCTGTTGTTGCAGGCGTCGTCGCGCGGATATCGCTGATGCGTCCTGCAATCGTGGTGCTGATGCTGTGGCGACGATGACGACGAGTTGTTCTGATGCTGGGGCGGCGGGCTCGCCGTCACCACGCTCGAGGTCTCGGAGTCGTAGCCGCTGGAGCCGCGCGTCCACAGCGGCTCGGGACAGTCGTAAAGGTGATTGGGGGGCGTGGGCCGTTGCACGACCAGGTCGAGAATCGCCGAGCTGCGCATCACCTCGATCGCCCGCTCGAACGGCAGATCGGTGAGCCGCTGGCCGTTGCACCAGATTATAACGTCGCCGGCCTTTAAACCCGCCGCTCGCGCGGGCCCGCCTTCCCTCGTGCCCTGAACGGTATTTTTTGTTTTTTTTTTTTTGTTTTACAAAATTATTTTTAAAAATAATCAAAATGGACCTTCCAGCCTTTAGGGCTACAGTTAGAGGTAAGATAATAAAAGATATTTTTTGCAGATAGGAAAGTGGAACGCGTTTCGATCTTTACTTTTCTATCTGCAAAATATCTTTTATTATCTTACCTCTAACTGTAGCCCTAAAAGGCTGGAAGGTCCATTTTGCTTATTTTTGAATTTATATTACGACCGTTTTTTTCTGATAAAATTATTTTTAAACTTGAAATAAAATAAAGCGATCTATAAGAACTTCGCAATGCGAGTAAAATCTCGAGCGCGAATCTTCATTCGCTTACTCGCGCGATCAAACGCTTTGTATTCAATTAAAGCGCTTCAATTTAAGACTATTAACCTGAACGGTAAGACCGGGTACGATTCCTCTGCAAACGCCGCAGCCGAGACGGCCCTTCTCGCCAACGAGGATGCGAATTCTGACTTCTGTGCTCGGCACGCCGCCTAAACCAGTTTCGTTGTATTGTAGCTGCTGCTGTTGCTGCTGCACCATGTGCCAGGTAACCGGATCGTTCGGGTTGCTTTGCGAATCATAAAAGGATTTTTTGTGATAGCGAGAGAGAGAAGAACGTGCGCCGAGAGAGATCGAGAAGCGAACGGAAAATTGCGCGCAGTTTGTTTGTTTGTTTATTTTTTTTTTGTTTTTTTTTTGTTGCGCGAGATTTTAATTAAGTTTCGATATACTTACTCCTTCACGGGTATCATCCCCACACCTGCAAACACAAATCGAGGGTCATAAATTCGTTGTTATCGGCAAACGAGATAGAGATTATTGCATGTAGGCGCGCGCCGCGAGTACGTGTTACCGTGTTATTAATTGTTTTTTTTTTTTTTTCCCCGCGATAGAACGGAGCGTTTCTACATTTTTTTTTACGCGCAGAACGAATGTACGTAGGTAGGTGTGTACACATGCGCACGGATTGCGCAACGCATATTTTACGAAACAGAAATGAGAGAGATCGCGAGGCGAGATAGTTACTTCGAATTTTGAGCACCAGCACTTGCTGATTCTTCGCCAGCAGCGCGACCTCCTGATGCACGGCGTCCTCGACGGGATAACCGTTCACCCTCAAAATTTGATCGCCCACCTAAAGACGACGAGAGCGAAAAAATATTATATATAGTCTCCGAAATTGTCGAATCTCGTCTTCCAAAATCTCAAAAATCTTTTTCTCCAATTAATTATTAATTATTGTTTTATTATTTTAAGTTAATTAAAAATAAACTAATTGAGTACTTTGATGTAAAAATATTTCGTATGTGAGAATTTAATTGAAAACAAAGAGATATGACGAATTTTAACGAAATTTCTAAAACCCATGCACTTAAGTTTTTAAACGTATTTTTTTACATACCCTCAGTCCATTTCTGTGAGCCTCGCCGCCCGGTTGAACGTCGCTGACGTAGAAACCGGCGGCGTATTCGCGTCCGCCGCGTAATGAGAATCCGAAACCGGCGTTGCCGCGACGTCTCAGACGCACGTTTCTGGTAACGCCGATGACGGCCATCCTGCCGCCTCCTGCCGGGTTCCCAGGACCTCCGCCGGTCGATGATCCCGTGCCGGCACTTGACGCGCTGGAGGAGCCACCCGACCTGTCGTAAAAAGTTCCCCGTTTAAATAACGTCAATTCCGCGCTGCGAACCGCGGGGCAAACAAAAAAAAAGCGGACGAAGAACAGTTTCAGTTATTTGCACGAAAAGAAAAACAAAAAAACCTTTAAAAAAAAAAACCAAAATTATTTCATTAAAACTCAATAAAATGTTCTTAACAAGTCGGATCGCCAAATTTGCCAAATTAGTGTGTTCGAATGCGCGAAATAAATTTTTTTATTTGTATTCCTTTATCGCGCAACGCGTACTTTCAACAAGTACGCGCGCGCGTTCTTGATTCACTTGTGAATATTTTGTTTAAAAATATGTTGCGTTGGAATATTCTCGCTTCTCTCTCGCGGCGGTTCTTCTTTCGCGATTATATCCGCGCGAGCTGTAATATCGTCGCGGTCTTATTTCAACCTTCGCGAATAATTGTCTCGCGAGAGGAGAATCCTCATTTTCCCTTCCCCGTCCCCCGTCCTCCCTCCCTTCCTCCTTTGACGGGCGAACGAGCAAGGAGAGAAAGACGACTCCGGGGAGGTATCTTTGTGTTCCGGGCCGACCTTTTTCCATCTCGCTGTGAAATTAATGACCACACCTGGCGCACACCGCCGCCGCCGTCGCCGCGGAGGAAGGAAGAGAATCTAGAAGCGGAGAGGAAGCGAAGTGCGAGAAATTTCGCGCGGAAAGAAGAGAAAGGAGTCGGACTCGGAAGATGAAGCGCTGAAACGCGGAGAACATCTTGCTAATGACCGCCGGGAGTATCTGCGAGTCTTTCCGTTGGGATCACGCGAAAAGTCTCCTCCGCGAACAACGCTGCAGGACACGAGCCCGTCGCGACACGCGGCGAGAATGATGACAGTCATTAGTGAAAAAGAAAGAGAGAGAGAGAGAATGACGTGGTGCTCTAGAATGACTCGGCCTCTAGCCGAGACCTCGTCAAGTGTCCCTTCTCTAGTGAGTGTGTCTTCTCGAAGGAGAGAGCGTCTCTATTTCTCTCGAAAAAACGCTATATTCCAGCTACTCGAGAAAAAAAACTAGAGAGACTGATGTACTCCCCTACGGTATTTGGCGGGACACCAAGTTTTTTTTTTTTTTTTTTGTCGGACGGGACGAGCGTGAGAAATTTTCTCTCTTTCTTTTTCTCGAGGAAATCAGTATCGTCGCGTTCGGCAAATCTCGTGGGATAATAACGACTTTATTCCGCGAGAGACGGTCACATTCTCGTATAACGCGCGCGTATATATATTGCGCAATAATAAGAGCGTGAGAGATAACTCTTGTGCTAAAACTATATTAACGCTCCCCTAATCGTCTTTCTCTTTTTTTTTTTTTATTTTTTTTTACACAACGCCTTCGTGCGCGAGAAAGCAGAAGCAGCGGCGGCAGCTGTCAAATTGGCCCGTTTCGTGCCGGAAGATTCTATTATTATGCAATCGCGAGATTCTCCTCCCCCGTTCGTGAGAGGACAATGGGCGGTCGATGCACGTGTTAATCGCGTGCGACAACGTGCGCGTCCATACGGAAAGACGTACCGTTACCGATATCACCGTTTGACGATCGAGAGAACCTCCCCGAAAGTGTTACGGCAAACGTAACAACGTATTTGTACGTCATTCCTCGCGCGCACACACACACACACACACACACACGTACACACACGTTCCTCTGGCATCTGCGCTCACACCGGGTGACCCCGCCCGGGTGTCACGATCGCGATCCTGCTCGTACTTCGCGGCGCTCGGTATCAATTTGATATTCCGCTCACGAATTATGTTAATTCCCGCAACGTGTCCGACGCGCGAACGGAATCAACGGAAAAGATTTTGACAGAAGAGATCGAGGAGGATTTGCGCAATAATTGTTCTTCTGGTTGACGTGACAAAATCATTTTTTCACACGTACGATATTTCATATTTTAACAAAATAACAAAATCATTGCGACAAAATTATTTTTTGAAATTTGTTTTTAATATTTTTGCGCGCGCGCGTAATATTCCGCGTAGCTTTCGAAACGCTGCGCGGTTAAAATTATTATTTACGTAGTTGCGTCGTAATTCTTTACACGTAGTTGTTCACATTCTCTTCTTATTGTATACTCGCGAAAGTAAATTATACAAGACTATATTTCTTTGCTACTTTCCACGTCCGAATTCTGACCGTACACATGTAAGCGCGATAATAACAGGATCCGAGAAATCATTGATTATGAATTCCATTCGCATCTTATGCTAATTGTATCGAGTCCGGGTCGAGAGAGCCGGGTTGCGAGTTCGTGTTCGAGTACGAAAATAATATAATAATCTTATCGCACTTGTATCGAATATTAAATATATATATATAAAAAAAAAAAAACAATTGAACGCTATTTTGTATTAAATATTTTATCAACTATTGTATAATGTCGATAACACAAAGCGATTTTTAAACTACTTAACTGTAATTATCGGCGCTCATTTCCTTCATCGCGAAGGACGTTCGCGCAATATTTATCGCTATTATAATTCGCTTGCGCATTATATATGCGATAGCGTGCGAGGGACGTCCAGATCGCCGACAATGCGCGGAGAAAGTTGACGCAAGACTGCAAGGAAACACGGAAAGGCACCGCCCTGAGAGTATCGAGAGTCCTTTCTCGCGAATGCTTCTCCGCGTACGTTGCGCGAGAATGGAAGAAATATCTCTTTTAAATTAAATTAACCATTTCAATAAAAAAAATTAACTGTGTGTGAAATTGTGAAAAAAAAAAAGTTAATTTAATTGAAAGGATTTCAACGAGGTTTGATACTTTGTATCGTCGTTCTCTCACGACGACGGGAAAAGCCTTTTAAGAGCCGAGTTAATACTCGGCGAGGAGAGCTCGCCTCTGCTTGGAAAGTCTCGCCTCATTGTGTGTCCACTTTACGGATTAACTCGAGAAACGCCTTCGAGAGAGAAATACCGGCTCTCTCGAAGCGGCGTCTAACTTTAGAACTGGTAGCGGCAAGAACCAGAAGGTGACAAATTGTTACCGGGGCGCGTTTAAGGTTTAAACCGCCGCCGGCGGGCGATTCGCTTCTCTACCGCGCGCCCAACCCACATCTCACAGCTACATACGTGCGCAATCTTCGTACGAGCTAGCGTGTATTATTATTGGACGAGCACGCACACGCGGAGAATCGGTAGCGAGATCGATCTTTAATTGCGCGGCTCGTTGATGTCAAATCAAATAAAATTAATAAGACGCGCACCGATAACATTGTGTGCGCGCGAAACTCCGCACTGTTATTTGATTAATTTTCAATTCATTTTTGACGCTCGATTTTTGCGTCGTGAAATTATCAAGGCAGGATACACAGGTGGTTCTCGGAAAGTCTTGTGTGTCTGAAAATCATTCGGTGCGATTCTTCACCGGAAGACAGGTTTTTTACAATGGACAACACTACGAACAGATGTTCTGCGTTTTCGAACCCGTTTTTTACTCCAGACACCACATTGTATTGGATGGTACAAAAAGAACCGGATAAAATATACATAAACTTTCATATTTCCGACATCGATTTCTGTTCTGTTTTATACGTTTCTGTTCCCCAAATAACTCTCTTCTCTCGTTCCCTTCGGTTATTCCGATTGTTCGGTGTTTCCGATTGTTCGTTGTGTGGAATCCACGCTTCGATGCCTCGCAACCGGAACGACTATAGACCCGCGGACGGAACCGAGACACATGTTGCGGCAGTACGGGGAACGTTAAATTGCACGTTCTCGAATATATAGGGTCGCTGTTTCTTTCCCCCCCGTGAGTGTGTCACCACCAGACGTCGTTCCAGTTTCGCGATCGATCGATTTGCGAAATTATCCATTACACGTCATGAGTATTCCACTTCACGTATATGTACATTTACGCACCTTTCGTCCCCGCGACGATAGGCTACACACGTGGCCGAATGACCGCGCGCGAATTTATTCGCTTTGTTCGCCTCGATATAACGCCCGTTTCCCCTCCGAGAGTAAAATTCATTTTTCGTCACGGCCGAATTGCCGATTTAAACTATGCGATCGAACAACTCTCTCGCGGGGAGAGGAAGAAAACCGAAGAAATCGGGCGTTTTCTTCACGCGCGACCGACCACGTTCCCCGGAGAATCCGCATTTCTGATCGAGATCGATTTATTTGCGCCGGTCGTTGATCCGCGCGAGAAGGTTTCGATCATCGACCCCCGCCTCAAGGTTTCCGTCGTCCGTGCAGTTTTATGTAAAAAAAAAAAAAAAAAAAAAAAAAAAAAAACCCAAAACGAAGAAAGAAAACAACAAACAGGATCTAATCGAGATAGAAAAACAAAATAGCCAACAACCCCCTCGGTCCGGTGATTAATGATCGTTTATATGCAAGAGATAAAGTCACCGTGAATATTCGAATTGGACGATTTCTCGATTTGTTTTTTTTCGTTTTCTTTAATCCGATCGATAGCGAACCTATACCAGTTTCGAACGCCGCGCGGCGTCAGAAAAATCGGCGAACACAGCTCGGCTTGTTTCTTGCGTTGAGATTAGAGAAAGCAAGAAAAGTGACACTGACCACGGCCGATCTTGACGTCCGTTGCCGATGATAAATCGTGCGGAATATATATCGATCGCGTCTCGTAGGGAAAGTCGATTGCGACGCAGTTGTGGCAACACGCCGCGAAAAAGGCGAAACGGAACGGGTCGTTTCCGGGATTCCTTCGGTGCGTTTAACGATTTACGATTCTCGTTACAGAGAGAATTTTCTTTTCTCTCTCCGGGAGAGGACCAGGAGAAGAAAAGAAAAAAAAACCAACACGTAGAGCGCGCGCTCATTGCCGTGTTTGCGGTGAACGGTAACGGTGATCATCTCCTGGCAGTAAAGTTTCGAGACGTGTCTTTCGTTCTTTCCCTCTCTCTCTCTCTTTCTCTCTGTCTTGCACTCTCTTGTCTCGGTATCCGGCCGGTCGCCGGTTTAATGCGGCACAATGCCGATAGGATGGTAAAATAATCTGCGGCTAA